GATTCACAGTAACCCTCAGGTCTTCTGTGCAATACTGCAACCTAGCCAGTCATTCTCCAGTCTGTAAATCATTTCTTTGATTTATCCAGGTCAGCCTTACCCTTCAGTGTCTAAAATTCCACCCAACTTAGTGCCATCTGCAAATTTGCTAAGCATACACTCAATCCCATTGTCAAAATCATTAATGAAGATGTTAAACAATACCAGACCCAGGACAGACCCATTGGGAACCTATTTGATATCTCTTCTCAACTTGACATTGAGCCATTAAATGAAACACATGGACTTAAACCATATCAAAATGAAATGTTTTGATATTTTTTTCATTCCAATCTTTTTATTGAAGTGCAAAACATTTCATTTGTGTTTAATCAGTATTTGCTGACAGAAAACTATTTGGAAAAGATCTGACCAGTTGTATAGTCAAAGCATTGTAAGGTGCTTCAGCTGGTGAGAGCTGGAATAATCCTTTTTTGTTTGTTTGTTTTTTTACAGGTGAAAGAGTGAATGCTCTCAAAACAATGTTGTCTATAAAGCCCAGGCAAATCTCTAAAGTAAGTATTCTTAAGTAGCCTGAATCATATCCATATAAGACCCATAACATTCAGGAAAATTCACACATGCTTTCACATGTGTGTGTGTGTATTATATATTAGAACAGTTTATCAGAAATCAGTCATATTCACAGTGCAGAAGATAATTGTCTGCAAATCCTATAAATATTTAGCTTAACCTATACTTAAGATCCATTTTCCTCAAGATACTTTTTATAGCCACGATAGCACAGGGTATATAGGAAAATGTTAACCTACAGTGCACATGCTTAAATCTCAGTGATGCCTTAGTCAGAACATGTCTGATAAGGTAAAGTCTCAGTAGGCCACAGCAAATGTGTCCTTAATACAGAGAATCCGTGATTTCATTTGCAAAAGAAAATACCAGTTTCACATTGAGGAAGTATGAAAAAGGCACGGGGAATATTATATTGTAAAATGTCCAAAAAAAGAAAAAGGGCAATCTTTTTTAGATGAGCTCAGAAATACCTATAATCAAGTTCAGTTTCAGATTACTGGTAGAACAGCAAGAAATTGCCAACTACATAGAATGAGTAATAAAATGTGTCTCCAGAGGTTTGCATTAGCAGAGCTTTTTATCTGATCATATTCACTTGAGGCACAACCAGAAAGCTGTTCCAGTGTTCTTACAGAATAATACTCTAGGTAAAAGAGAATGTCTTCTGCAAGCATGTCTCTGGCCCTGGAGATATAGCTGAACAAACCCCTCCCTTCCCCCTCCCACCCCCCAAAACACTAAACGTTGTGCCTATGGTTTATTAGTGAGACTGGATTCATCAGACTTCATAACGGTGTCTCAGGGAATGTAAGAAGGAACCTCATCATTTACATTGTATATTTAAAGTTTGGCTAGAGAATGTTCTAGAAAATGAACTGTAGGAATAAACCCAAAAGGGCAGGAAGATTGATGTTTTTCAGTGTACTTGGTGACACCTTATTCTACGTCAAATTTGGCATGCCTGTCTTACATTTACTTTGATAGTAAACACTGATAGTAAACAATGATAACCCTGATAAACCTACATAAATCATGTGTGTGTGAAGATATTTAAAAAATACTTTGAAAAGCAATGTTTTCTTTACTTTAGATTACTTAGTTGATCCCTAAATAATTACAGTCTATATATGCAAAATTTATAAATTTGTTAGAATTTTCCAGGTATAGAATCTAATTGTTGGATATCTACCTTGAATTTCTCCCCCTCCTATTGCCGGGGAGGGGTGGTAGGTCTGTTGCCCTCTGACCCTCCCCCCTAAGTTATTCCTTACCCCTTTTACTGCAGACCCTGTTCTTCTTGAACACATGGAAGTGAGGGGCAAAATTTACATATAGGCAAATTACTACAGGTACCCATAGTCTTAGTTCAGCCAGTTTAGCATTTTTAGAAAGAGCACAGACTTAGTAAAAAAAAAATTAGGATTTGTCCCCCTTAATATCTGCATTGATAAGGGCGGTTCAGTTGTTTTAAAAAGAGTGAATTTAGTGCTGGTACTAAAGTGAAAAAATCTACAGACTGAAGTCTTCTATCTAAACACAAGAAAGATGCTACAATCAGAAGCAGTTCACATTTTCACAAGCTGTGCCATTAATCTAGAACCAGAGGGACCACTATCAGATAAGGCTCTGTTCAGCCTTCAGGGGCTGTAAATGTTTTGAACCTTCAACTAGGTATTATAAACTGTAGTAGTTTTATCATGTGGTCTGTTGCATCTGGATTAACACATCTCATATAAAATTCATAGTGTTGGAAAGGACCTCCAGGGTCATCTGGTCCAACCCCTACTAAAAACTGTCAAACTGAAATAATTTTCAAATCTCAAACAACCTGAGCTGGCTTGAGACAGATAACTCAGATGCCTCGCTTGCTGATTTGTAGCCCTCTGAGCAAAACAACTGATAATTAGTGCTAGCAATTTGAATGCATTTATCTTGTACTGTTTTCCCCAGACACAAAGTATATTGAACAATTTGATATTTAGGATGCATCAGTATTTTCCTGTTTTATGCCTTTCCATGATATAAAAGATAAAATATTGTAGCTTTTCCCCCTCCTATGTTTCCATTAATTCTTTTGTTACTAATATAGCACTCAGCTTTCAATAATGACATCACTGAAGGTGCTCTCTGCAGTGCCCTTTCTGTAGATGTAACATAAGTAAGTATTATTCATAACTATGCCAGAATTTCCCCCTAAAGGTTTATGAGTAAAATCCTGGATCCACTGAAGTCAGTGGGAGTTTTGCCATTGTCTTCATAATGCCAAAATGTCACCCTTGAGTCTAGTCTCTTTTAAATGGGAGAGATCTAGGAACCCCAAATACATCTACAGGGTTGAAACAGCACTAATAGGAAAAACAAAAAAATATCAATTTTATTTCTATTCAGAATTATCTGCTCTTTTTCTAACTTTGATATTTGGCAAAAACTGAACCCTGCTTGCTGCTAATAGATTTTCTCTTAGAAGAATTAGCTTTGACCCCCGGTAAACAACAAGCTAAAATATGATGGAATTTGTTGCTTAACCTACCTCAAAAACTAACTGTATGAAAGTTTGAAAAGATTTGATATACATCATCCATGTGAAGTAATATAAACCCTATCTAATCTGAGGGTTGGGTAAGCAAAAACCTAGGACCATAACATATTCAATTTGTCCAGGTTTTTTAAGGTTCATGGCCTTTTCAAGGAAGTTTCTTCTGAATGATTAGGAGGCTGGATTACAAGCATTTACTCATAATTCCATAGACTAAAGTTAAGTGATGAGATTCAGTGGAAGATATTATTCAGAGCAAAGCCATATATAGACCCAAACTCAAGGATCAGATTTATTTTTTTAATGTAAAGAAGGCATTCTTGCCTTATATATATTGATTTAAATTACATTAACATCACTGTTCTAAGGTCTGAATCTGTGGAAAGTTTTGAGAATTGCAGTTTTACATATTTTGGTATAGGATCACACATTTGAACCTGGAATCATTCTTATTTATTTGGGATAAAAATACACAACTGTTTTGAATGAATCAGTGTATTCTTATAATGTGAGTTCCACAAAATAAGGGTCTAATGAATTATTTAAAATAAAAATTTACAATTATGTTAGCTAGTATAAATTCAGAGTGATCAAATCACATAATGTAGGTCACACAGTAAGATATAACTTGCTTGAAAGGAACAAGAAGAAATTGTTCCTTCAAGCACATAGTCATAGTACCAGCTGGTATTGGTTTCTCATCTTCCTTTGACATATCAGACACTGAACAAAGGAAGTGACTGTTACTGTTATGCAAAATTAGGTAGATGATACTCATGCTCAAGGAGCTGAGCTTGCATTAGTTAATTAATCTCTATGAGACCCTGGTATGATCAACTTCCTTGGAAAGGAAAATTTAAAAGAACATTCAATATTTATCTTCTCACTAGGCAAAATGAAAGGGAATTTGTGACACTGGTCGGTTAAGTGACTTGCCCAGAGGCCAGACAGTAAGTAGTACAGAAAGTTGAAAAACCTAAACTTCCTGATCCCCAGAAAAATGATTTATTAATTGGACTACAGCATTTCTTAAAACTGTTCCAACTGTCTAGGATATATGAATGCCACTTATTTCCCAAATCCAGCCAAAATATATTTTTTTAAGAAAATTTGATATCTTTCTTTCTATATATACCTTGGAAAAAACTCTCAGCCAATGTCTGTTATTCTGAGGAAGGGATTTATTAGACCTCTGAAATCTGCAGAACCCCTTCGATATTTCTTCACAATTTAAGTCCATTCTTTTCAGGCCTGTAGAAAACACCTGGGCTGCGTCCAGGCATGTGTGGACATTTTGTTCCCCAAGGACAATTAGTGGCAGCACACCTTGTGCCGCCACTAGTTGTCCCCAGGGAATGCCTGTGCCACACACACTCTGGTGTGTGGCAAGTTACTCCAGGTGGGGTAGGAAAGGCGGGGCCAGAACTGGGTTGGCCCTAGCAGCCTTACCTGGGGTCCTGATAGCCTCCCAGGGCTGCAGCAGTGGTGATCTTGCCGCACAGAGCCTGGACAGCAGCAGAATGTGGCTCTGGCCGGCCAGGTTCGGTCTTTGGGCGGTCTTTTTTTTTTTTTTTTTTCAATGGATTTTTTTGATCCCTGGATATCCAAGAGTCAAAAAAACCTTCCACACTGCTCCCTTGCAACATGGGGAACAATGGAAGATGTGGTATGTGGCAGCACAGACATGTCTGCAGCACCACATACCGCACGGCCGCACTCATCTGGACATGGCCGTGTTGGCCAAGGACTGACACCGAACCTCTCAGACCTTCCACAAAAAATCTTTTGCCACAAAATTCTACTGAATTCCACCGAGGAGGACCATCACATGTAATACCACAACACGGCATTTAAGCAAAATAAAATAATAAGGAAATTGACAGAGACTTACCAGTTCACCACAGTCTGCACCCACAGCAATCAATGACTGGATTGAAAGCGTAAGACCCCTCAGGTTTTCCCTGTAAAAATTAAGATACACAAAATATTGTTTCTTTAACATTTTTAGATTAACAACAGTAAATCCTGATTCTATGAAAAAAGCAAATAGTAAAAGCAATTTGTTGAAGGTGAAAAAAATCTACAAAATAATGCCATGGCATAACAATGTAATAAACAAGAATTTACACAGTAGTTATGGTATAAAATAATATAGTTCATAAAGTATAAAATAAAGGTCATATATATTAAATTATATGATTCAGAAGATATTTTCTGATTAAAATTTTCATGCTACATCAATTGCATAATTAACTACAATAGCCATTTACAAACTACTTACTGACATGCTATTTCACTAAAAACAATTTTGTTTCAATGCACCATTTTTAATGCAAAATCTGATTTCATAACCATACTTATGTTATTAGCGCTTTAAATACCCAGGAGTTATTACCAGTGCCTACAGCGCTTACACAGAGATGTTAATCAGACTGGTAAATTTCCTTAATGGTTTGTGAAAACAGAACTGAAGTCTTGCTACTAGTAAATGTAACAGCTCACCTACACCAAGTCAAAGTCAATCACTGACATCTGCGTAAATATTATATCTCAATTATTTAACTTTCTATACTGCCAGCCAAACCAATGCTTTAGGCGGATATATAAACTACATACAGGAATAGTTTTGCATTTTCTCTTCATCCCAAGCTCATTAAAATTGATGGGATCTAGGGGTACACAAAGGTGGGATTAGATACTACAAAATATGCCTGAAAATTACCGGCTGGAAGGTACAATTAAAAAACACCTCTACATTTCTTTAAGCATATCTTTGTAAGTTGCTTCTGGATGGGTTTAATTATCTTCTACTTCCATTTCACACAGCACTGATTGCATATTATTTGTGGCTTAGGAAAAAAAAGAGATAATTGTGTTTTGTGACAATTACATTTATATCACTCAAAAGATATTGCTTTATAGCCTAACTTCTTTTTTCTTAGTTCCTTTTCCCTTACTGGAATGCTTTTCGTTTCCATTTTCCTTCATTTGTTTATATGACATAAGTTGCTCTGATGGCCTTTCTGGCAAGCACTCATTTTCTACATCTGCCATCAGTCAATGCTAAATTATTTTAATTACATTTAAGTATGCTATATAAATGATGATCTATCACATATTTACTTTTCTTGAAAAGTATGTAACTGATTAAAAACAAACAATGAAAATAAAACAACAAAACAAACGAACAAAAAACTGTTCCCCTATGACATCTTATTGTTTGACATCCTAATGTAACCTTCCATTTGTTTGCTATTATTTATTCAAGAGTATGTATTGTACACTGCAACATTTGCAGTAGTTGGTTGTATTGAATACATTCCATAATCTGAAACCTCAATAATTTGTTATTTTCCAGCTCTTCTCCTCCCTTCAGCA